GGTAAGGCGGAAGCCGAACGGCCCGATAGACTCGGAAGAGCCTCGGATTGCGGAAGACGTTGGAAAGAATGTAAAAGGCCTGCGGTCCAGTCAATCAACGGATTGTAATTACGCAGCCAATTGTATCCAAACACTAGGGCACATGAAGAATCCAGTTTAGTGACAAAGAAGGTCGAGGAGAGAATGTCGCTGGTCGGATATCGGATAGGGATGTCGGCAGCTTGGGTTATCCAAGTGTTAACAGTCCCATCAAGGAGGTGTAAGGCTAAAGGAGGTATATCATAAGTGGAGACATTATGTATAGATACGAAATTAGTGTCAATGAAACAATGAGTGGAGCCAGAATCTACCAAGCCAGTGGCAGGAACCGTAGATCGTGAGTGTAATGTAACAGGGAGCGTGAGGGAGTCGGGGTCGGATAGTGCTGCGGCATTAAGGCGAACTTCTTTGGGGACATCGCGAGAGCAACCGCAACCCTCTGGCAATGCTGAAGGCGGAGGGCTGCTTACTCTTTTGCTGTTCTGGACTTAGTGTCCTTCGCAGCCGGAGCGGCAGGTGCAGAAGCGGTGTAAGGAGGAGCGGCCGTAGTAGACGAGGCGCAACCTTTGGCGGAGTTACGCTTGCGACAGTCGGAAGCAACATGGCCAGCTTTGCCGCAGAAGAGGCAGAGGCCTCCCTTGAGCCGGCGTTCACGTTCCTCGGGCTTGAGCTTTCCGTCGGCACCCAACTTGTCAGCCAGAGGATTTGGCTTATCCGAAGAAGAGCCTTTGGATTTTGACTTATCCTTATCCTTGCTGTTGTTGCTGGAGTTGGAGCCGGACTTGGAGTTCGAAGAGCCGGAGCCGGAAGACGACCCGGCTGAGTTGCCTTTGGAGTTTGATGAGCCGGAGTTGTTGCTGCTGTTGTTGTTGCTGGTGCCGGACTTGCCGTTGGCGTTGTCTTTGCGCTTTTCGCGATTGATCTCGTTTTGGCGCTCCCAATAGCGATGATCGAGTTCTTGGGCGTTGCTGC